CTAATGTTTAGGATTGAAACACACCTCTCATTTGCCTTCTCATCTGTTTAAGGCATTTGTATCTTCTCTCTTTAGTATTATTTCACTTGTATTTTTGGAGTGAAATAAAATATTGGTTGTGTCCGAGGAGTAGGCAAAATTAGCCGAACCTCGTAAATTGTGGTGTTCCCTTTATTGTTGCTTTATTGTCTTATTTATTATTTGGTGACTGTCATAATTTTGGTATAGTAGTTGTGACTTATTCACACTATATACATTTGGATTCCGCAACAATTACCACCCTCTGCAATATCTGCATAGGGAAAAGGATCTTATTTATTTTTACTGAGTCTTATTGGGTTGACAAAAGGGGCAAATACTAATTTCCTGCACCTCCACGATGCTATTCCTAGGCCAGCTCAGTCCATGTTTTCTAAATCCTCATTAGTTAAATTTCAAAGAAACCTTCCATGGCACATGCAACTGTTTCATCACCTCACATTATTTCTTTCTTGACCCTACCAGAAAAACCAATATTTCCACTATATAAATATTTCCTCATTTCAGTTTCACTTCACCTCTCCAATAATTTCTCATTTTCTTCCCACCTTTTCCCCACATCCTTATAGATAAACCATGAACAGTCTTTTGAGTAAACAACATGCTTACTCAAAGATGGAAATGGAGGACCCTGAGGAGATTCAACATAGAAGAGCACAGTTCTTGATTTACAAGGCATTACAGAAAGCAGATTCTGCTGTGTCACAGAGAAAGCAGCAGCCATGGCTAAAAGTGAAAGTGTGTAAGTTGAAGATCAAGATTGGACGGAGATTAAAGAGGTTTAGGAAGAGCATATTGTTGACATTCTCTGTTGCTAGAGGTGGTGTTTACAAGCAATTTATGTCCCAATTGAAATCTTGGAAACGTTTGCTTAAGGGTAGAGATGCTATGGTTAGTACTCTTCCACCAATATTCAGTACTTGAAGTTCTATCCGTATTTCACGACAACAACAACAACNCATTCTGATTTCACGAGGACAACAACAAATACAACTCAATCTGAAACAAATTGAGGTCGGCTATATGAATTCAAATGTCGACGTTATTACAAAAAAAGAAAAAAGAAAAAAGAAACGGAAAAAGAGTTTTTTTTCTTTCATTTTTTTATTTATTTTTTATTTCTTAGCTATATAATTTTGGTTTATGTTTGTTCACTAGTGAATGGTGAGACATGATTATACATATATACAAATACAGGTTTTCACCCTTTCTGAAGCTATAGATTTTCAATATAATCAATTTCCTGATGTTCTTTAATTTCGGAAATCTAATTCCATTAATCTGTTCTATTGATTGAAGTTCAAATTGAAGTTTAATATGTCAAACTTGTTCTTTCTTCTCGCCCCCACCCTCCTCTTTTTGATGGGGAAAACAGATGAATGGCCATAATTCAGAGTATTTCATAGTTTTTCATACCAAGAAAAGAAACAGCAGCAAATGAAACAGCAGTGGTCTATTTCTTTTTTTTACCCCAAAAATGAGTTGCCGAGTCAATTTTTGGTGCTTTCGAATTTGATATCTTTAATTAGATAAATAAATTCTGGGCAAGTTGAGTTTCTGACTATGTTGGTAAGAAAAAGAATATATGTTAGTGGGAATATATTACTTCTTGTTGGTGCTTTTTGTTTATTAAATTGTACCATAAGCTTTTGCCTCGGTTTTTCTTTTCCTGTTTGTTGTACATGGTAGGAAAATGGACCATTGGTTTGTTCCTTTTTCTTTTATTTATTTCAGGTTGGAGACTCTGTTACTTCGGTGCAGGTGAAGGAGAAGGTAAAGAACAACAAGGGTTGCGGTGGATTGTTAAGTATTCCTTCATCATTAATCAGAGGTCTCGGGTTTCGGTCTCTGGGTATGAAGTTGCCTTAGTTAGGGAACCATTTACCCCTAATATGAGACTTCCCAATGCGATTCGGATTTAGTCGGCCCTAATATCAATATCGGATACCGGTGGGAAACAAGAAAAAAAAAAAAAAAAAAAAAAAAAAAAAAAAAAAAAAGAAGAAGGAGGAGAAGGTAAAGAAAAGAGTGTGGTGAGAATCAGATTTTATATCTGTAAGATATAAGTGTACCAGTGAACTACCACTCAATTTTTAGTTGTTTAGCTCTTGCTTTTTAGCTAGACTAGTATGGAATTTTTTGGTTTAATTAATTTTTGTTTAGTATCGTTGGATTTTCCATCTATTGATCATAAACCCTCAAGTTAATCTGCACCCGGTATATTATCAGCTTATGAAAAGAATATGGTGAAAATTTCCAGCTATTTCGTGCCGTGACAGTATAACTAAAAGAAAAACAAGAACATGGCTTGCATGATTAATTCCAACTTGTGAATACACATGTACCTAAAATGTACATTATTTTCCTCATTATTTTGTTTTCTCAAAACAAAAATTTGGACCTAAAATGCAAGAAAAGAAAAGGAAAAAGCTTTCCCAAATTAGCGCGGTCAACTAATTAACTATTTCTGTTAAATATGTTCATTTTCCCTAGTTTTGAGAGTGTACGAGTATTTGAGTTCTCATAAGATCTTGTTAAAGACGATGTAAGAAAAATTAGAGCGAAATTGCTTGACAATCGTTAACATAATCCTAGTGTCATCTAATTATGACGTAACACGTTTGTACCCAAAAAAAAAAGGAAAAAGAAAATGCAACATGCTAAACATGTATAGCAAGACTTTATTGCAAGAGAAACAGAAGCAAAAGCATTAGCAAATGCTTAGCATGTTTGTCCACAAAACGTACATATGTCTGGAGTTGGTGAAGACGTGTAGCAACCTATTCTGCTCATATTTCCAAAATACTACTATTGTTTACCCTTAAAATGAGTAACAATTAAATTTATACGCGATTGATTGAATATAACACGAATGAACCATGAATAATAAATAATTGGATAAAAAGAAATTAGAGCGATCGATCAAATGTAACAGATGAACAAGTTTAGCTTTGCAATGGACGTTTGGAAATTGATTCCGATTTAACCCTCAAAACGAGCTCGGTTACAACTCAATGAGTAGGCAACTGAAAAACACTTTGAACAGTAGCTAAAAAATAAAAATAAAAACTTTATTGCTTTGATATGCGTGCCAACAATGACTTTTAAAGGAAAAGGTTCCCCTTTATATAATAGGGTAATTTCAATCCTAGTACAAGTCTAAATAAGGTAAAAAATCTTCTCATTCCAGTAACATTGTTATGCAGTTGATGTATGGCGAGATTTACGTCATAACATCCGGCTGAGAGCGGATATTACGGCGTGCCTAATCGTCTTTTCTCCTAGTCTCGAACTTTCGCTCTGCTCGGACCCGATGTTCGGCCATGTTCGGTCCCGGGTGCACCCTTTGTCCTTCTCGGCTTCTGAGACATGGAACCCCTCGGCTTTACTCGAGGTCATGTCATATTGGGCTTCCCTCTCGTTTCTTTACCGGGAAATCGAGGGTAATTTTATCACCGATTTTGTCTGTACACAATTATAATCCTCATCTTTTTGTCAGTATGAGTATTAAACAATGTATGCAACTATTTTACCGAATGCTTAAACTTTTCCATCCACACAAGTATCGAGTAATTTTACGTATCAAGCGTTAAATTATGAAATAAAATCACTTAATATGTTTTTATCGTGAGGCACTTATAGTTCAAGTGATCATGGCGTCAGAAATCATCCATTGGGTGAACACCTTAATTAGCTTAACAATGACGGTGGGGGTGCCCTGTCGGAGGTGGCTTTCAAGACCTCTTTCCTTTGCATAATTAGATCAACAACGTGGCCTTGCAAGAAGAGTTGATGGATCAAGTTCACACAACCAGTAGCAGCAAAAGCTGCAACTTCAACAATTCCAGCTAGGTTTTGGCCATTCATATCAGTCTTCCTCTTCCAACACAATTGGGGCTGGGGCTGTCCCCTTACATTAATTTTGCCCTACTGGGTACAGATTTATAACATCACCTACCCTTACCCATTTATTATCCAACCTATTAATACTCTTTTTTAGTTTTTAATAAAAAGACCCTTTGCCAATACTATCCATAATCCATGTTCTAAAATCCTCACTCATGTGCAATAAATACAACTTGTTTTCTTCTTAATTAAAATCATGTGCCACATGGGTTCGGTGTGGTTTCAATGTGAACGTTAAAACTGACACTAAACCGGGATTCTCCCAACCATCTATGATTAATATCCTTAATTTTCATTGTCTAATAAATTCTGTATTTTTTCTTTAATATGTTGAATTATTGCAGTCTTACTCGGAGAAAATCTATCTTTAAATTATTTACTCGTTTCTCTCTTTTTGAACAGAAACAGCTTCCCAGGGGTACGTGCTTGTAGGATTTTTTCAATTGAATTGGGCAGCCTTGTTTGTGAGTTGTGACCGTGTAAAGCTACTTCATCAATTTACTCATTTAGTTCAATTATTGATGAAATGCAAACGTGGGCACGGCAATTAGCTTTATATGTAATTTTCTGAAGATTACCAAGATCATGTGTTGCGTTAAACCAAATTTTTATGGTAAAAGATAACAAGTGAAAGTATGTGGAGAAATTTTGGTGAGGTTAATAAGAAGTGAGAAGACGATGAGGATTTTTTTTTTTTTGTTGGTAAATAAACACTTTTATTACCAAAATTGAGTAAATACAGCTCCAGAAAACAGAAAAAAGAGGCACTTCACACTAACAATATTTTTTAAAATAAAAAATTCTAATGACTAGGAGTATTAAATGGACTTCTTGGCCAAGTTTGAGACTAGTGCTGAGTTAATATATTGGTCATGACCAACTTCCCAAAATTTACCAGGATCAAAACAGATTGAGTTATAAGTAGCGGTCATAACCCAATTAATTAAACTTGAAACGACCTTTTCAATGTTTTCTTTTTCATTGATTTGTGGCTACACAATGTAGCTGCTAAAAATACGATTACAATAAATTATATTTTACAAATTCGTTTGAAGTCTCATGTAATAACAAACTGGATATTCTTGCTCGTGATTTAAAAAATTGGCTATACTTTAAATAACAAGGTTACAGAAGTGGCCAGCCCATGCCATTTCTACTCGGAAAACTACCAGTTATGTCCATTTATAAGTAGTTTATTATAAAATTGACCAATTCATAAATACTACTAATATTATCCAATTAACTATCCGAAACAACAACAAAAAAATCATTTTTTTTTATTAAATTGAATGAGTATTATTAAAATACATTAGGTACCTCCAAGGGTGGATTTATGCTTACCGAAGTGGTATCACGCGACACCGCTTCGTCGGAAATTTTTACTAAATATATGTATTAATACTGTACGAAAACAGATAAGTAGAAAAAAATGATATCACTTGACATAAATTGTATCTTGGTGTGTTGGTAATGTGCTTGATTTTTCTCTAAGAGGTCAAAGATTCAAACCCCAATTAGCAAATTTTTCTTTTGCAAATACTCAGGACCTTTTATAACTTAAGACTCAACAAAATGAATAAACTAAGATTATTTCTTGTCTAAAGGTATGATAATCAAAGTTATATTTTATTTTTTTTATAAATTTCGACACCTTTTTCAAAAATTTCTGCATACGCCCCTGGGTACATCATGTAGCTGGCTGCTTTCAGCCCAGACAACTTTCATTGGGCCTCAAGGATTCGTAATACAATCTACAAATGGGCTTTAGTTTAGAAATAGAAATTTTACCTCCAACAAAGGTTGATACCTTATTTATTATAAATAAATATTTTTAAAAAAAATTATCTCTTATAGCTACCTTTTAATTTTTATAGCAAAATATCTATTTATGATCACTTCCTACCTTTAAGCCATTAAATACGCTGTGTATTATTATTATTATTATTCTCTCTCCCTTTCTCTTTCCTTTTCTTCTCTTTTTCTCACGTTTTTTCCCTTCCCTACTTTTAGAAACCCTAGCAGGGGTAATGTCCGCCAACGACAGATTCGGTCGGCGATCACTTCCCCCCTTCCTTATTGTGTCACCCCTAACCCCCTCCTTCGGCCAGCGATTTTTTTCACATAGTTGTGTTATACATTTTAATTTTTTCTTAGATTTTACATTGATATTTCATGTTTGCCTTGTGAGACGTGAAGAAGTTTTGTCTCTAGTTTCTGTTTGATCCTCTAAATTGGTGCTTCTTCAACAACTGTATTCATTTAACTGGCGACGACGCCCCACATGGTGGTGGCCTGGATATCGGTGGATTGGGGACGGAGTTTGGGGCCGAGGAACTTGAAGAGTTTTTTACCTTTTTTTTCATTGTATTTCAATATGTCTCGTTGCATTTCATGTATTTCATTGTATTCCTTGTATTTTTTCATTGTATTTCAATGTATATCGCTGTATTCCATGAATGTATTTATATATATATATATTTTTAATTAATATAATTTATGTATTCAGATGTATATGTGTATTCAAATGTATCTGCATTATGTATTCATATGTTTTTTGCACTATAGATGACCTGTTATACTTCATGTATTCAATGTATTTTTATGTATTTATCTGTATTCAATATAATTATATAATTTTAATATTTGTAAAGATACCACTAAAAAATATTTTAGTAAAGATACCACTAAAAAAAGAAATGATGGATTGAATCTCTGAAGATTGCTCTATTTTTGGGGTATTTTTCGATTGAGAATCTTTTCTATAACTGGAAATACAAATTTTGTGTGTTACAATTGAGTTTGTTGAGTTATATTAGAATTCTATCGCGTTAATTGATTCACTTACCATTTTTAAACAGCTGGAGACCTTTTTTCCACAAATTTCATTATTGTATTCTCGAATACAACCCGCGAATACAATCAAATACATTCTCTGCTTAGCTGAATTCTCCTGTTTTTCGCCGAGTTTTGCTACTGTATTCATGAATACAGTAGCAAAAATACATCGAATACAGTGTATAACAACTGAAAATATATCTATAAGAAGAATTTAGTAAATGATAGTTATAACAAGTTAATAATCACTAAAACATAGTGATTTCTGAAAATTTCTCCTTAGAAATAGTTGGCCAGATTCAATATTTATTTATTTTAGTTGGTATACATATATTATA